TGTCAACTTACAGGTTTATCATTCCGCTATACGCTTTTCTATTTTATACTGAAAAATATTTCCACTTGTCATTTCATACACAGTCCAAGTATAGTCCCAGTCCTAGCCTCTTCCTTCTCTTTTCCTTTGCTGGAGCTTCCCCTTGCAATAAACTTAGCGGCTTGTGACCTTTCCCAGGTACCTAACACCTCATGTTCCTGGGATTCCTTCCTCCTCTGCAATTATCTATTTCTGTACTTTGTATCCAACTGCCGCCCCCCCCTTTTTTTTTTTTCGATTTGAGGGAAATTTTCTTTCTTTCTCTTTCTTTCTTGCCTTCGGTTGCTCATCCTGCTGCTTCTCTTCCAAGATGGCAAGCACATTTCTATGATCAGAAGCACACATGGCAACCAACGCTACTCCGGTTAGACGCCGTGCCCTTGAGGCTCTACTGCTCTGACCAGCCAGCAAAATTCTCTCCAAAAATAACATAGTAAAAACAATCCTCACCTGCCCTTGCACTTGAACTGGGATTTTCAAGCAAAACTATGGGATATTGAAAATTCAAATCTCATATAAAGAAGCCAAACAGATATAACTGTTATTGAATAAAGTAAACAGGGAGCACGTACATGCAGTGGCACTACAACCACCATGGGAGAAGGGAACAAGAACAAGCAAAAGAGCCTTTAGTGCCAACACAAAACACTGATCTCTGCAAGAGCCATCACCCAGCTCTACTTGGCAAACTCCATCTCTAAGCTGTAATCAGGGGCTTAAGACACAATTAGGCACTATGCCAGACCCCTACAAATCAAGGTGCAGGCGAGACAAAACACGCAGGTAAGAACAGTCAATGGGACGTATGCTCACGTACGAATGAAAACACCAGTTCAAACGTCAATGGATAACAGACTACGTAGGAGAAGCAACAAAACAGAAAACAAGGGGGGGGGAAAAAAAAGCATCAACAGCACAGACTACAAAAACTGCAAAAACCAGAACTTTTTCTCTTGTAAGATTGCAATCATAATCATTTTATACTCACAATTAGAAGCAAAAATACACAACATTAATGAGTCTCATAAGGAAAAACGTCTACATCCTTTAAAATTCTTAATTCTTTAACAGTAGAAGTCATGCACATTTTACTTTGGGTAAAATTATGCAATGACTCTTAAGCAGCTCCCAAGACAAAAAAAGAAAAAGAAGAAAAAAGAATAGATACCTTTTCCAGTTTCAGGACTGTATAACATTGGAGAACTGGTGTTGAGTAGCAACTCTGATACTCAGATAAAAGTTTACAGTGCCACAACTGGAACCAAGCAAGAGGGTTGGCTCACAAAATGTTCCAAACTTAATAGGCAAGAGGAAGCAGAATATTTTTTGTTGTTCTTGTCAGAGGCAAATACCACCTCAAAAACATTTAGTCTGGAACTGGAATTCCCACACAGGCTGGATTAGGCTTTGTTCCCATTTCTGCCTATTTACCTACATTCAAGGTCTCTTTATTGGCATTCATCTCAACAGTTTATTTTGACTACCTATTTTACTTAAGGAAATGAAAAATGTTTGTGGCTTTGCAGATTTAAGCATGAAAGAGCTCTCATTTATGAAAGAATACAAAAGCTAACCCTTCCTCTCCAACTTGTTCAATGGATATACACCTTATATTTTATACTAATTGAAGTAAGACTCTTCTCACGTTGCTGTTATATACAATCAAGAAGCAAACCACAAAGAGGAGAAACAGGAAGCTAATCAGACTCGAATTCGTACTGAAGGGCATGAAAAGACAGCCACATTCCCATTGAATGCCCTTTTTCAGTCGCCAGCCTTACCCCAAGAGCTACTATTTGGAATTGATGCTTGAAAAACCTTTTCAGAAAAATATGAAGCTTTTAACTAGAATTCCAAAATAATACTGAATTAACATCAACTGTTTGTGTATACATATAAAACAACATTTTAACAGGTATTATAACACTACTCAAGGTACACGCACGATGCTTGAGAAACTAACATGGTTAAAAACTTCACATGGATAATAATCCATGAAGTCACATGAACACTCATAATATTTTGATATTGCAGTGTTCCAACTAATTAGAGAAATCATATAATTAACGCTATAAAATGGTAGCCAATTTAAGTTTTTTTCAGTCAACAACAATAAAAAAGTAGTAATAAAACTAATGTTGTATAAAATTTAAAAAAGAGAAAGAGAGACAGACAGAGAGAGCGAGAGAGAGAGAGCGAGCGCAGGTGAGACAAAGAGAGAATCTGAAGTCCCATCTACAGCAATTATCCAGGAGATTTTTGTTTCATTTTTGTTGATATAGTCCCCACAAGTGAATGGATTTAAGAAACTGTAAAAAAAAAAATACTAATTTTGAGATATCAGAAGCCGACTTTTAAAATCATGTGCTAGGCCTTTTGTAATAAGCATTTCAGAAGTATGCTTTACGCAAAAGCGTTCAGTCTACGAAGGGCACCCAGTCAACAGCAAGAAATGGTTCTTGA